TGGACTAGTTGTCCAAACTCTACATATTACCGCGACAAGCTTACTTCTCAGAGGTGAACTCATGTTTTGCGCTATAACCGATGTATCAACAACCACCACATTTATATGTATACTGGCTTCAATTCATCATTTGGTTTTGATGAGCGCCGAACGTTATGTTGCGATTAAACATCCCTTCACATACGAGGCCGTGATCACTGAAGTTCGGATCATCTTAGCTTCTTGTCTGGCGTGGGCTGCAGCCATCATCTTTTCCGTCGAAAACCTTTTACCCACTGCAGTTGTAGCAGTTTCTGAATCGCTGCTTCTCATTTTCCCCATTTACTTTAATGTTTCAGTATACAGGGAAGTCTCTCGTAATAAGAAACAGATTGCAGCTAACCAAGTTTCTTTGGAAGCCAAGGAAAAGTTACTCAAGAAAAAGAAAGCTTTTTACACGACTGTTGTTGTACTGCTAGTTCTTTTATTGTGTTATATTCCATCGAATATTTTGCTTGTTATTCTGGTCTCTTTCAAGGAAAGTATCCCTCCTATTATAAAGGTTACTGCTGTGTATGTTTTTAGTCTATTGCCAGTTCTGAATTCGCTGTTTAATCCATTGATTTACGCTTTTAGAATAAGACATTTTCGCGTAGCTTTCATCCAGTTGTTGTCACGAAAAACTACTGCACAAGCTGAGGAACTTGAACGGAAGATATTTGGAACAAGACAGATAGGAGGCAACGTTATTGTCAATACAGGACCAGGAAATCACACATTGAACGATAATTACGAACCGACAAGACGAGCAGAGCCGCATGGCGGATGAGAAGAGACACCTCTGGGATAAAAACAAAGAAAATTGCATTAAAAAAAAAAAAATGGATTAGAAGACGCAAACGTCAGACACGCAATTAGTTGTGAAAAAGAAATGGAAGCGTGCTTTCTTACTGTAAAAGTTTCAATTTTGTTGTCCTTGTTTGTTACTGATGAAGTGGGATCTTTTTTCATATATACGGGGTAGACAAGAAAATAGAAAAATATACTTTACAAGGATGTTAATACTGTTAGTTTTCCTACCTATAATTTTCTATTCCTCTAACGTTGACAACAAGATTATCATTTTACTGCACAAAAGTAATTATTTCAAAATTAAACAGATGCGAATGTTTCATCACGGAGCAACTTAGGAGGAGCNAGCTGAGGAAGTGGAACGGAAGATATTTGGAACAAGACAGATTGGAGTCAGCGTTATTGTCAATACAGGACCAAGAAATCACACATTGAACGATAATTACGAACCGACAAGCCGAGCAGAGCCGCATGGCGGATGAGAAGAGAACTTCTGGGATAAAAAACAAAGAAAATTATATATAAAAAAAAAATGGAGTAAAAGACGCAAACGTCAGACACTCAATTAGTTGTGAAAAAGAAAAGGAAACGTGCTTTCTTACTGTAAAAGTTTCAATTTTGTTGTCCTTGTTCGTTACTGATGAAGTGGGATCTTTTGTCATTTATACGGGGTAGACAAGAAAATAGAAAAATTCTGTCAAAACTCACCGGACGCCGACACTCAGAAAGTCTCTTGAGTACAGCTTTTCAAATTGCAACTTGAATGTCTATTTGCCATTAAATGATCTTTCCGTGTAAACTCTTGTTTAATCTTTTTTTCCCTTTTTTCAAAATGTTTAATTTGGATGGCTACAAAAGAAACGACGTGAAATATCTGTCGCGATAGTATAAGCAACAATATTAAACATAATTTAACACTTGAAGTTAGGTACATCTGATGAACGCAAAACTTCAAAAGTAACATTTTTTTTTCAAATACAACAAAATGCAACAAAACAGCCTTATTTCCTATTTGGAAAGCAACGACACTTGTGGTGGGCAGATTTCACCCAGAAATTTAAATCACTATAATTTTTTTTTTGTCACGATGTGACTCGATGTCACACTTTTCCGATTCTTTTTTATTCAAACCAAAAATAAACCGCATGCCGAATTTAGTGATTATGTGTAGTTTCATTAGAAAGATTTCCGAAGATGCTCCAATTTTGTTTTTTTCCAAAGGCCGGACAAACTTTTCCGAACATCTTCCGAAGCCGAAGACTTCTGAGGAAGATCCCAAGATTTTCGATCGTACACCAACAAATTTAAAGGCGGTTAAAGGGACAAAAATGTCATAGAAAATGATATCCCACATGTGTGAATAAAAATGATATAGTTACGAGTAGGATGTCGTTTTAATCAATTGCTACCACTTGGTATATAACTAAAATTTTTATAACGAATTTAAGCATGTTAAAGTCCTTCTCCAAAAATTACGACGAAATTACAATAACGATATGACACACGGTTTTCTTTGTTGTTCCTGTTGTCATTGTCATAGATTGCTTTTGGTAATGTTGTTATTGATGCGACAATGTTGTTTTAATTTTTATGGTGTGGCCTTTTTGATCGTCTATTTCCTTTCGTGGTTCAAGCGGTCCCACAGCGTTCCTCAATCCTAACATTTGCCTTCCAAATTGCTCAGTTTGTGTATGGTTTTTTCTTCGCAATATTTCAATGAACGCTACGCGAAACTGTCTTATTCTGACACAATAAACGACAGGGGTTATAAACGAATTGAGAATGACTATAAATATATCAAAATTGCACTAAAAATGGCACTGTAAGCGATATTTACAGTTGTGATTTTTGAACTTACCAGTAGTATTAGAACGACAAACAGTGGTGAATAACACAACAATAGTACAAGCAGGACAGTTGTTAACTTAAAAGCTTTTTTCTCCATAAAAAAATAAAATAATAATAATAATAATAATAATAATAATAATAATAATAAATACAAATTGTCTGGCTTCCAGTGAGTTTCGATGAAGACTGTAGTCTGGCAGAAGGCTATAGTGGGCATAACAATTAGCAAGATAATATTGTTCAATAATAATAACATTGTTCTGTAAGGGTAAAGGCAAATTTGCCACGAGAACTGTCATTCAAGCCAGACCAGATGAACGAAGTATCCGAGCTTTAGTAACCATCGTAGTGTAGGTGAACGAGTGTTTTATGGCTAAAATACCGTTCCACGCTTATCAAGACCAGATGACGGATTGAATCACCTCCAACTAATGA